AATAATCCTTGCACCGATGGTGTAAAGAATTATCACACAATTATCACAATTGAACTATCTATTTTGGATTTCCTTATGCTGACATTCTGCTTTCCTTGATTTTTCTATTATAAGAAAACTGGTTGATTCAAAACAGAAATTAAATAAATACAAAGTAAATGAAATTAACTTGTGTTTCTGGTAGAATTTAACTATCTATTTTGGTCAAACTTGAAGAATTATCGCACAATTGAACTAACTATTTTGGTCCAACTTAAAGAATGATTACACAATTGAACTATCTATTCTGGTTAAATTTATATGTCATCTTTATGCTGATATTCTACTTTTCATGATTATTCTATTATATAGAAAAACTGGTTGATTCAAAACAGAAATTTAATAAATAAAAAATAAATGAAATTAACATGTATTTCTGGTAGTAGTTTATACATGACCCTAGCTGGATTTTACTGCTGACTGACATAAATATCCATGCCAGGGTTAGAAAGGTTGCATTCTTTAACACAGCCAGGTTCTAATTTTGAAGCAGGAAAGAATTAATAAAAAACGGAAGTTGAAAGGTATTTACTTCGTTAATTCCAAACCTGACAATGTAATAAAAGCATGGTGTCTTTGTTTGGATTGCAGACCTACTGTACCTCACACATTGTTAGTGATTTAGGACTTGATATGCTATGTCATTACTACCCTAAGGCAGATGAGGTCTGCATAATTTTTGAGTAAAACTAATTAATGCTTCCGTATAAACAGTTGCATCATTATCGCGAAATTGGCTTTCATTCTGAATTGTTTTTGTGTTTTATATAAGTTATACAGAACAAATTTCCAAACATTGTATTGGATTATTATAACTACTTTTACAAATAGGTATCGAAAAAGTATTTATCCAGCAGCCATTTGGAAACTTATTTCTAATTAAATGCAACATAGGAGAGTGATGTGATGTGATAACGGTCATACTAGTTATTTTAGTTTAACGTTTATTCTGTATTTGTGTGTCAAATGTGATGTGATAACGTTCACATTTGCCATTTCAGTTTAATGTTTATTGTGTAATTGTGTCTCAGAGCAAGACAAATTTATATGCATATTTTTATATTAATGCAATAAATGGAAATGATGTGAAAGTTAAATTATACATTTTGATAAATCATAAAATTCAACCTCACTTCGTTTAATATTCCTTTTCTATAAAAGAAAAAATCCACGAGTTATCAATAGTCACTGTGTCACTTAAATGCAACATAGGAGAGTGATGTGATGTGATAACGGTCATACTAGTTATTTTAGTTTAACGTTTATTCTGTATTTGTGTGTCAAATGTGATGTGATAACGTTCACATTTGCCATTTCAGTTTAATGTTTATTGTGTAATTGTGTCTCAGAGCAAGACAAATTTATATGCATATTTTTATATTAATGCAATAAATGGAAATGATGTGAAAGTGAAATTATACATTTTGATAAATCATAAAATTCAACCTCACTTTGTTTAATATTCCTTTTCTATAAAAGAAAAAAAACACGAGTTATCAAGAGTCACTGTGCTTCAGAATATTTTGATGAAGTATTATAATTGTATTTTAAATATTTTGTATATTTTCATTGGTTTTTAAAATCAAATTAATTTTTACAAAACTGGTTACCAACGTAGAACCTAGACATTTCTTTTTAAAAACCTGTTTTGTTTATGAGAAGTGACAGTGTCATTCATATAATTTGCACCTATAGTTGCAAAAATCTCTCGCTGTGTGACTTATATCCTGTTGTGCTCTTGCTCTCTCTTGAACTTCTAGCAATTACAAGTTGAAAGCAGGTTACTTCTTCTGTGAACACTTTTTTATAAATTGTTTCATAGATTTATCTTGTCTAGAATTTTCAGCCACGGGAAGAGGGTACTAAAGTAGGAAGAAACAATGCATCATGACACTAATTTCATATAATCTTTTATTCTTTATTAACATTGATTTATTTGGTCGATGACTCATAGAGGCATACCCGAATGGTTGGGGTGGGCTGTACTTGGGGGAAATGTGCTGTAGAAGAAAGAGCCAAGAACAAATATTAACAAGAAATACTTGCCAAATTTGGAAGCAGTGACAATAGGTTGCTCATTAATATTTCTACTCTCTTATTCTTGGCAGTAATGTGTACCATTGTTAATCAAGTTGCCTGGTGTTAATTGTCTAATATTGGTACTAAAGCCAGTACACTTATTATTTTTATTATACTTTTAACTACATTTCAAAGGGACCATTAATTATGCACTATCAATTCACCAATCATTACCCTTATTGAAATGATAATGCTATCAATTATACATATGTCAATGATTTCTTACTACTTAATAATTTCATTAGATTTAAGCTTTCTCTTCAAATATAGATGTGGTTTTACTACCTATTACAGTAGACTGTCTATGTGTAAGTTCCAACAGGTATATATCGAGCGCCAAGTGAGATATCTATTGATTACCAACACATGGATAATGATCCATAATGTTTGGTAATTTAATAACTCATACTATTTATCACAAGTGAAGGAGTAAGCAGAATGATTACAAAATATGTGCAATACTTGGTGAATTTTATTACCACATCTAATGATAATAACTTATTAGGAAAGATTTAATAAGAAATATTTATGTATTCTATATTTACTAGAAAATGAAGAGGCTTAAGAAATGGAATTTATTTATCCTGGGCTCAAAGCCTGTTTAACGTGGTGGCACGCACTAATAACAGTAAACCTGTTAGCTTACGCCCTTTATGTTGATCCATGCTGAATGCGATCGATTGCACTGCATCTGTAAATTATAGTGATAGGCTTAATAAAATAAATAAAAGTTCTTGATTTTGATATGCAGGTCAGATAAAATATAGACTGGCGCTGGAAGCAATTCAAATTGGGTGTGTAATTGTGGCCTCATTGTAGACATGTATGTATGTCGCTTGTCATACCACATCATTACTATTGAACATTGACACACCTGTTCTCCTGATATTTGTACCTACTTTCCGTCTTGATTATTGTCAGTTGTTCACCCCATCCAAATTACGTGTAGGAAGGATGTAATGGTAACATGGAAATGAACAAAAGACGAGATATAGTGATCCAATCACACCCTATATGACTCAACAAAATTAGTTGTTCTGTCTGCGATCATTGGCCATCCATATGCGAGTCAACATGGTATTATGCAGGTTTCATTGTTGAAATTTCCATTGGGGGTTCGTAGTTTGTTGCTAAAGTCAACAGGGTAATTTTATGTTTCGTCATAAGCAATTAAAGTTTAAAACAGTATTTTCATTGGTAAAATGTCAACATGGGAATAGGTTTCGTTGTTGTCTTTGTGTATGGTTGTGATGACAATACTATGTATTAACGTGTTTATGTTTTCATCCTCAACAATCATCAATAAATAAATAAATAATTTAATATAAATAATTAATTAGCTAACTATATATTTAATTAATCCTAAATAAAACATTGTGGTGCTCTATAAAATCAATGTCATTATGAGTTTTAGCTTGAGGTGTTTGAGTCTAATACCTGGACTACTAGGGTGAAACAAATAAAAAGAGGGTGATAAAAACATTTTTGTACACATTTAAAATTGTAACACGACTAAATACCATAGCTTATAAAAGCTTCATCCCCAGCTCCTTGCTTGACACTGTTTCTCAACTTTTGATCCTCTAGATGGCCCATAGATCTCTTTAGAGGCCCAGGCCCTCCGTGTGAACAAAATCTTGTGCTCAATTAAAAATTGGTTAGTCTTGAAAGTGCTGCCTACCTAATTGTAATGAAGCTGAAATTAAAATTGTTTCCCTTTAAATACAAAATCAAATACTTAAATCAAAATCACAGACTTGCAATATTGTGTAAACAGATATTAACATTTACCTATCCATTGAAACCTTGCATTTTGATTGGTCCTAAGTCCAGGTTGCTATTGACAACGGAGCATCCCTCAAGCTATGTTGAGTGAAGGGGATTAGGTAATGCCTGTGAATACTACGCAATTTGTTACTTAATTCTCACCAGGACACACACTTGATGAACTGACTTAATAGTAATGATTAATAGACATGTAAACATATTGAAATGCTTTGAACGAGTTACAGTAAACACCATAATAAAAATGGTTTTGAGGGGTATAAGAACTCAATGTAGCTGAGAAGAGTACAATCTGTGATTAAGAACATTGTTCCAACTAGAAACTTCATCATTAAACATTTTCATTAATGTCATATTAACTTAGCAGACTCTAACAGTGCTATGAACTGTGAATTCTATAATTATATATGAATATATAACAAGCAATAATAACTAAGTCAAAATGTTTACATATCAGAAGTTTGAATGATTGTATGTATTTGTAAATGCTTTGACTATTTCCAATCACTTAACGCTGAAATTGAACTGTTGAAGCAAGAAATTAGTGATACAGTGTATGCACTGAAGCAAGCAAGTATTGTTCACTTGGTCATTGTTGTGTGATTCGCCGATCGCAACAACTCATTTTTGATGTCAGCATCAAGTAGATGGGGCAGGCTTTATTTCAGTTGCTGCCTATCACGTAGCCTTGTTTAGTTCCAGTTACTTGTTATGCAAATGAATACAGCTATTCTCTTTCTGACAGAAGAGAGGCTCAAATCAGTGGAAAAAAGTAAAGGATAAGGAAGTCTATAGAATTAACACTGATTCTGTTACTCTATAGGAACTTCATACATATACAGCTAACTGAAGAAGACTTTTTGTTTTTTAAATATCATCAGAACTGAAATGCAGTGTCATGCGATACCACGATGCATCAAACATTGTAAAAACTAATGGATACACTTTTTACCGATGAAAAACGGAATCTACATTGTTTTTCACAGCAGTTTTTCATGGATATTTGCTGCCAAATAAAGTCATGATGCTTCGGAATATATCATCAGTTTTTATGTTTGTAATTTTGTGCTTCGTTTTTTTAATTTCATTTGTCATAGGTTGTGATCCAAATCCTTGTAAAAATGGAGGAACTTGTAGCAGTTCCTCAGCATCATCTAACCAATATACTTGTGCCTGTCTCACTGGATATTCTGGCAATACCTGTGAACAATGTAAGTACTTTTAAATATAAAATTTAAATCAACACTAAACCTTCTTGCATTTAACCTAAAATGTTTATTATATTTACAGGTTGCATGTTAAGTTATAGAAATATTTATGTTATTGATATTTATGTTATGTTATTAATATTCATATTTAAATTAAAACGTCAAATTTTCATTATTCTTTTGTTTATGAAGCAAATGTTGACAATGTTATTGAATGTATAGCATGTTTATTAATGTGGGACCAACTCATTCAACCTCCACTATCCAACATCTTATTCTTTATTGTTACAATATGAAAGTTGTGGGAGGAGATAAATAAAAGGATGGAATTAAGGAAGTTAAGTGAATGGATGGGAGGGGATAATATTAATTTTCTATTAATACCTTTTATAAAACTGTTTACAATTAAGAATATGTGGTGGCAAACTATATATTTGTAAGTTTAGTTGGCACTTCATATTTTACATAGTTTACATATTATTTATAAGAATTATTCTATCATTATTAATATTATTAATATTGATTATTAAAAATTTTGATCTAATCTAAATATAAGTATTGCTATTATGATGATTAAGTTGAGTTGTAGCTGGTGGTTAAGATGCCTGCCTTCCAATCTGTGGTTCTTGGGTTCCTGTCATTGAAAGGATTTTTCTCACAAACAATGCCACTCCCTAAAGCCTCATATGTCAACATGTGTATGTTTGCCACAGACAGTTACTCTATTAATATTGATAATCGGTTATTGGCTCATGTGCTCATGTGCATACATGAACAGAATAGAATAAAATGGTGATAATGATGGTGGTGATGATGAAGGTGATGATGATAATGATAATGATAATGATGATGATGATGAAATGTTGAATAATAAATACATTGTCATTATAAACACTGTGTTAGTATAACCTAGTTTAATTTTCTTATTAATTTTTGTTTCATATGTGTACCCTAAGCCGATGTAATTGTATACACTTAAATTACAAAATATAACAATGAATCAATACATATTATTATTATTATTATTATTGTGTGGTGACCAGTATCTGAAGGTCATAATTCAACCAGTTATTTCACGGTGGTAGTAATGCTCTTAAGTTGCCATCATTGTGATAGGCAATGGTGTGGGAGCTAATAATGGTGATGACAATTTGAGTGGCGTTTCTCTCCTCCAGCTGAATCACTGTGTATTTCCAAAGTTAATCTTCAGCGATTGTTTGACTGGTGTGGTATCACCATTGTTTTTTTTGCATATCTTTTGTGTATACATTAATAGGATTTAAATAATATATAGGCGAAGGTGTTAAGTTTTAGCATTGGTCATTTATCACCTGTGCCTGGTACTTGTAATTATACAACAGAGCAAAATTTTACAGAAAATGAAGATGAGACAAATATACTGGCCTGGAAATATATGCAAGTTTAAAGAGATATTTAAAAATACAAACATTATTTAAATATATAATTTATACTTATTTTTTAGAATTTTATTTGTATCTAACAGTGTGATTAACTTGTGGGGTTGTTTTTAGTCGTGAGAAAAAGTCCTGGTGTCACAGATTTTAACCCAGGACCTTGGGATCAGAAGCGAGCATCTCAACCACCAAGCTATAAAACTCCATATGTTTTTATTTATATTTTGATTAATGATAATATATGTGATATATATAGTGCATATTTACAATTTAAAAAATGCTCAAGGCACTTCAGGTAAAGACAAACTTTTACCAGAAAATAAAACCCAAAACCTTATCCTAGAAATATAGATAACAACACATGAAACCCAAAACAAATAAAAGGTGTTAAAACAGCGAAAATTAACATTTCCTGTTTAACTATACTAATACCATTATATAAAGATAAAACTTGTTTTACTTCAGTAAACAATGATATTACTTAATTGATTATCAAACTTGTTTTATTTAAGTGATCTGAATAAATGTAGTCTTATATTGACTAACCTCTTGTGGTTTACAACAACATATATAATAGTTAGCACTACACGGTGAGTAGGACAATTGAAAATTAATAACAATTAATCGAAAGCATTTTTGCTTGCATTGTCTGTGTTTATTTCAGATCTTGTCATGCTGAATAATGTCGGTAGCATCTTGCTTCAAAATACAATTTAAATAGTGTTCTGGTCAAGAGTCTAGAACTGATATCCGTTATCTATAACATAGATTAGTTTAAAAAATAAAATAATAATCATATTTTTACAGGGTATATTTTAGGTGTGAAACAGGACACAGTGCTCATATAATTTAATTTTTAGTAGCTGAATGTACATAACCAAGTAATTTGAGTTTTTAAGAGCGAAATAAAGGTTAAAGGTTAAAAGGTTATTCATTTATATTGCGTGGTAGAGTCCTATGCGCAGAACAAGTAGCAGATGTAACTGGAAAATAAAATTTAAAAAAAAAGAAAATTCAAGCCAGCGCCCAAACCGCAGTATGGAGATACGCCCTTGTATAAGCCAGGCTCCAGAGGTAAAGAATTGTTTAAAATGTTGTACAACTAATTTTTTCTAAACCGCAAAAAAACATTTGATGAAAAACTTGGGAACGGTTAATGAAATACAGATTTTTGAATATTTACAAACTGGGGCCCTTTTCCCCCCATTTTTAAATATTCAAAAATCTATATCGCATTTACCATTTCTGAGTTTTTTTTGTACAACATTTTCAAATTTGTTTTTTCCTCCGGAGCCTGCCTTCAAAATAAGTACTGGTTTCAGGTATTATGGAGATTCACAAGTCAATAATCTTCGCATTGTAAAACAAGAACTATGGACTATTAATCAACCGCTATAGGATTTATTATTTCTATATGTTTAGCATCCTCCCACGGTCGTGTAGAATAACAACTTTGACTGTGGTAAAAAAGAGTTTGTTATCATAACTTTCTATCTCAAATTTGTACTGTATATATATTGAAAAAGTACGCTCCATTCTTGTTTGAATTTCCTCAAATTTGAATAGATTTACAAATGATGAGTAATTTAAGTGTTGTTACTGTAATTCTAGATGATCTGTCATTTTAGGGTTAATTAAGTATCTTTTCATAAAATTCTCCTGCTCCATTTTATTCCCTAAATGACTAAGAGATTTTATTATTGAAGCATTATGTATTACCGTAAGTAATTTGAATTTTGTATCATTTTAAAGTTTTAAATTTCTCTTAATTTCCTTGTTTGCACTGTATGATCAACAGTGTACAGTATGCTGCACATGATAGTAATTTACAGATTTAATAATAACTGTACAGGATTTTTATGTAGTACTCCGGCAATAGCAATTTTCTTAGAATTTTTTTTTGCTCATTCCAATGAAGTGTAAACTCAGCATTCTTTGAAGTCCTTTTATAAATTGTTTGTTTAGTTTCTTACCACCATTCTACTGCTCTGAAATTTAATAGTAACCTTTTGTAGGTAAGTTTAGATATAATAGGTGAATCTAGGAAGGGTGTGCCTTTTAACACCACAGGTTTATTAAATTGAGTCAAAGCGATTTTTTAGGGTGTTATGTTAATTCCGCATGAACGGCATTAAGAGTCATTGCTGTAACTAATACGCAATTGCGCCCTTTGATAATGTTGGTGGCTTGAAAAATCACAGGTTATGCCCCTTCTGTTTGAATTTACAACAATACATCTTTTCTTAAACTATTTAACTATCTCTTCAAAAAATAAATATATTTTAAGAATTGATGAGGTAGCATGGACTCTTTTGTACTGTGTACTGCCAAGAATTCTGAGTCTATTTTTATGGATCTGAACACATACATCTGGAACTAACCTTTTTTTTGCACGAAACTGCATTTAACTTGCTGTCATATTAATTTCCTATAGGTAGGGATTCCAGGCCTGTATGAAATTTCAGGTTGTAAATAACATTGAAACATTTGTTATCCATTTTTAGTGATGGCACTTTGATACTTGTTAACATGCATGGTTGCTGGGCAACGTTAGCTCATGGTGTAGGCTTGGTTTACAGTCGATGGTATTAATGTCACATAGCGGTAGCTATAGCCAATATCAAACTTTTCCTTTTTTAAGGAAGTGTGAACAAATCACATGATAGAGGTTTTCAGAGTGGGACAAACAAGCTTGAAATCTAATCATGTCATATTTAGCATAATGTACAGAATTGAAAAGATCTAATGAAGTAAAGTGTCTATTCAACATGTGGTTTTGTCAAGGATACGTACAGTATAAGTAGCCACGGTGTTATGTTCGCTATATCTCAACAATATGCTTAATATGTTGTGGTAAGCTCGTAACTTTAGTTGTTCCAAGTAATTTATGGAAATGTTGCGACATAATTGTTCACAGATAATCTGTCAGCAATGAAGTTGATGCTGAAGCTAATGACATCATGACATCACAAGTGGGGCTAGCGTCCACAATATTTCAACGCATTGCAAATATAGATCTTTCAATCTTTCAGTGATCTTTATCTTACTTTTCCAAGTTGCTATTAAACATAAAATGAAATACAGTACTGTAGTAAATACAGGGATCATCTACTGTAGACCATGTCAGTACAACTGTTATGCTTATGACCATGTCTATACAAATTCCATGCTTCATGGTCAACCTGGGATTTATGTATCTTAGCTTAGAAAGTAATATATTAGATCAATAATCTATGGGCCTAATCAAAGTACTTAAATGTGTTAATATCAAGTCATCTTAGGATTGTCTTAACTTCATAATTGTAGACAATATAAATACATATAAATTGACACATGTGTAAAAGCGGTTAGGTGGTCCCTACTTTTGCCAGTGGCTCACAGCTGATCGATTTAACTTTCCACACCAGTTAATCCTTTTTGATTAATTTATTTAATCCCAAATAATAACAAATTTGTCCGAAATTTTCAAGCCCATGTGTTTGTTAGGATACAGCTGTCACGTCATACAATATGTCAACAAATATTAGCACACTGCGTTGTTTTACAATGTATATTGATATTTACAGATATTAACTGAATAATTATTTACACACTGTAGAATATATAATAACTTTAATTATATTTGTTGCACTTTCAGAAGATGTCTGTTATAGATATGTGTACATTTTTAAATTTTTATTATTAGCAAAATTACAGATTATTTTTAATTGTTTTCTACAAAAAAATAAAATTTTAACAGATTCTTCATTTTAAATCTTTTAATCTCAAATGTTCTTTAAATAGCAATTAAATCTTTAAATTAACCTGTGTAATAGGTTATAATTCTGAGCCCATCCGCTAGACAATTGCATACAGTGTTATATTTTGATCTCAACAATATCTCAGTCTTTTAGCTTTAGCTTCTGATATACTTTAATATTTGAAAGATAGTTGCCATTAGTGTAAGTACACAACAGATACAATATCAGACACAAAGATAGATATGTAATTATATAGATGTGACAGCTACGATATAAATTGAAAGATAGATATTTCTCTTATGAAATAGGGTGAATCACCATAATTCCACTGCATTCAATGGTGATAAGCATCACTGGGCTTATTGCGATAAAACCCTGGGAACTAATTTAAAAATGAAAGCTTGCTGCAAACAAAATTGTTTGAAGACCTTACTCAGGTATAAAAAATGTAAACACTTATTGAGTACTAATTGACATTTCAACATGCAATTTTAGTTTCTTTTGTCGACTGTCTAATACTTAGTATATAAATGGACTTAATTTGGGTTTGGACTTTGATATGTTAATTAGTAATTTAACCTTTTTTACAAATATTTTAATACATTTAGACCATCTAATTGCCTTATTAGCAAATAACGTAGATTGAAGTTGTTGAATAT